ACTAAACCCAAAGTGCCACATCTACCCATTTTTTGAACACTTCGAGGGACGGTGACTCCACCACCTCTCTGGGCAGCCTGTTCCAATTCTTGACCACCCTTCCCGTAAAGAAATTTTTCCTAATTTCCAACCTAAACCTCCCCTGGTGCAGCTTAAGCCCATTTGTCCTTCATGTAAGGATTCTGAATCAGATTGTAACAATTGCACACAATGGAAACATTAGGTAAATGGAAACATTAGGTACGATGTACCTAGAAAGTGCACTTTGCTGTTACCAGTTTCTGCTAAGGTCAGAAGATGCTAGAAGCTGTATCTTGACCCTCTGCCAGTGCTTGGTCTGTGGAGCCCATACGATACTTCACAACATACCAGTTCCCTCCATAGTGTTTACTGCTAATTCTTGGTGCATTTGGAGAGTTTTGTCTTGTCTTCTCAACAATTTTAATTATCAGTATAGAATACTTCTTGTCTTATATTTGACATGCAAGTGGGCTGAAATCCAAACTTTCAGGAGCTTTTATCTGTTTTTTTTGTCTTGGGTTTTTTTTGTTGTTGGTGGCGAGTTGTTTTTTTTTATTATTATTATTCAGGAAGATGACAAAGCCGTGCTGTGCTTTTTAACAGGTGCAATATAGGCATCTAGTCTCACTTCAGATGTCTGAGAGTGTCCAAGACATTTGAAGAGGGATGGCAAATACAATACAAGACTTAGGGCATACCTGGAAGATGACAGTGGGCACATTTGTTCAGGCAATGGAGTCACCTGCACTTTACCATGTATTTCAGAGGTTGTGTATGTACCCTAACAGGTACTATACTTCCAATAAAAGATAGGTATTCCCTAATGATCCTGAAGGGGCAGAGAGATCCATGTATTTCCACATCCAGGAAACTTAAGGCTGCAGATCATTGTGGAACAGGTCTTTAGTGACAGGAAATGCAATTCCTGTGCTGCTTTTCTGCATCTTATATTTGAACCAGCCTTTTTGTGGTTAGCTGGATGTTTGACAGTGAAGCTGCAAGAGGGTTTGATAAAGTTACTATGTCTGTATTTGTATCCTGTGGGATGCTCTTTTGCTGAGCAAGGTAGAACTCCTGGTTAGATGAACCAGTTGCTTCGTTATCTTTTCGCAGAAAGAAGCTGTACTGCGACACTAAACTGAGTGTTGTGAGAATAATGGTAACTTGTGGTCCTGTGTCAGGCTGACTTATCCACCAAAAGGTGGTTGCTGCAGCAAACGGCCAGAACCACAGCTCATTGCCTCTTCCAGAAGGCTGGCTGCTGATCCAATTCCTGTGGACAGAACCTCAGGCTTCTGCTCTGAAGATCTGCTGTGGCCTTCTCCCTCGCTGGTGTTTGACCCAAGGGACCATTGCTCAGCATGGATGCAGATTTGAAACAAGTAAATTCTTTAGACGGATGGAGTTTTGAAGGCTTTAAGATCAATGTTATTTCCTGAAATGACTGCAGTACAGTTTTGCTCTAAGGAAATTTATTTTTACTTTTGATGCCAAAACTGGTGCAAATTGGGCAGAGCTGGCTTCAGTGTTAACTTTTCATGTCCTGTGGGGAACGTCCTGTCAGGCTGTGCTTTGTTCTGCTTGATTGGGCAGTCAGCTAGTCTTTGATTAAAAATCTTTCTTACTTTGCAATGAAATTCTCATTTCCAAAGAAAACGAAGTTTTCGAGTCTAAACCAGGTGACTGATTTGTTAGTACTTCTAATTGGCTTTGTCCAAAGTGAGATTCAAAACTTGAAGAATTAAAGGCTCAGCCCTTCCATGCAGCACCAAATACTAGTCCAACCAGGGAGGATAAATAATGCCAGCAAATGGTGTCTCTTGTGTGCCTTCGTGTGTTTTCTTTAATAATTGTCAGCTTTAGTTCATCAAAAATAATTTTATACTTGGCTTCCCTGATTTTTAATTAGTATTTATCATGTAAAACTATAGCCAGGGAGCTCTTGGACACTTTGAACAGGAAGCACTGGTAAGTGGTAAACAATCAGCTTGTTCATGAATACCCCTCTGGTTTTGCATATGTTTTTTTTTTCTCAAGTTGTAATTACCAGGCATAGTCCTAAATTGTTCTGCTTCTTACCTCCTCTTGCCTTGATAATTTTTTCTATATTTTTCATCTCCTGAGAACTCTATTTTTAATGGTTGATTTAAAGGAAACCTCTTGAGTAGTATAATGTGTATTCTGATTAGTACACCTAATTGCAAAGAGTACGTTACTTTAAAAGAAAATTAATGAGGCCGTATTTTTCAGCTCCATTGCATTTGCACACTTTTTTTGAGCACAAGGAATTGTGAGTACAGCCAGTGGCAATGTAATACCTGGTATTTGGACAAATTTAGAAATTTGGTTTTGCCTTCAAGTATACAGCCTATTTGTATCCACAGATTTAAGCATGAACAGAAGAGCCTTTGTATAAAGCCAGGTTTTAAAAATCTCAGTTGTCCTGTTACTGCCTATTTTATATTGGGTAAGAAATACTAGTGAGGATGAGCTGGGCTGGAGGAAAAATGTGCTTTATTCGCTCGTGTGGGGTGTCAGAGAAAGTCAAAGTGCTTTTGTTAAATTAATTTTCTTTAATTTACCAATGGCTTAACAATGATTAAATTGACCAAATCTGGTATTTTAAAGTAAATGTTTTTCCTAATGTCTTCACAATCTTTGTGGGGTATTTATTTTTCTAATGTGATCTGCCTTCCTTTTAATCCTCTTCTATAGGGCCAGTTGCAGGGTCTTTCCTGAAAAGAAATATTGAAAATAAGTGTTGTCTTTGAGATTTTTCATAGGATAACAGGAAATGGCCCAGTGACAGATACCCAGGGAAGCTGATACAAACATCCATTAAAAATTTGTCAACAGCTTTGATACCCTCAACATGTATTTATTTTTGAAATATATTTCCTGTAATGGAAGCTGTAATGGTGCCCTTGGATTCTCCTCTTGGTCTGTTGGGGTGCGAGGCAGTTAATTGCCCTGAGCTTCTCCTTTTCCAGTTCAGCCCTGATTCAGCAGTCTGAAAATACAAATTTCTGCTTTTATGCTACTCTTCATTGGCCTGACACATTTTCCAAGCAGGTGTGACTATAAGACTGAACTTTGTTCTAGAAAATGATGTGGAGTTCTGCATGAAGACCAGTCTGTATGTGAAACTTCCATGGGTAGCAGAGGGAAGACAGAAGAAGAGAAGGCATTAAACTTGTATAAATTATTAAAACTTAAAAGGGTAGATCCTCAGAAGAATATTTAAAACCCATCAGTTACCCTGACCTGACACACACTGCAGTGACTTGTGGGTGTTTTACCAGGTTACTGAAAGGAAATCGGTAAGGGAGTTATTTATAATTAAAAACTAAGGTCCTTGGCTGTTTCTTTTATCTCTTTTGAAAGTGGGAAGGAAAATAATTTCCTTCCCCCTGCTGAGTGATAAACTATTGTGTTTGAAATATATTTGCTCTGTAGCAGAGATCTCGCTGTTACCCTAAGAAGAACCAAGTACAATTAGCAGGGCAGTGTCTTCACCAGGCTGATCCTGACTGCCATTTCAGTTCAGGCAAAGTCTTCACAAATAAATAGGGGTTTTGTTGAGCTTGTTAAATGCATAATATTCTCAGAATAGCTACTGAGCTACATTATTCTTGTCCAGTCTTCCTCCAAAAGTGTCTACCTATGGAGTTATTCAGGAATATGTATTGTGGATTCTTTGTATCTTATTTTAATCCAAATTAACCTTCTGCTGCTTGGAGCTTGTATTTCTGTGTGGACAGGGGAATGTTCACAAGCGCTTTAGGCAGCATAAGCTCTTACTGCCACTAACAGATGTAGCTCCTGTCACTATCCTCAACAGAATATTTCTTCTACTTCTTTTCTTGTGCCAGAAAAAAAAGCCTTCATGCAGCATGTGGCAGGCTCATTCAGGGAGCTCAGCACAAAAAGCTGATTTTTTTGGCTGGATGAGCTCCCTGATTGGGTTTACCATGCAACTCCCTGAACTTGAGTTGGTTGGGAGGGAGCTAGGCTGCCTCTGCTAGTACTGGCCTATGCAACCTGGAGTGTCTGGCATGGTAACTTGACAAAGTAATTGTATCTGCTTCCAGAATCCATCTTGTAGGCTGGGTACAGCCTGTTGCAATGTGTATAAAGCATTTTTAGATTCTTAGTCAGATGTTCTCTAGAGAGATACTATTTCCATCTTTGTCCACCTGTTACCAAATGGTTTGCCAACATAAGATGATTTTAAGGACATTCAACTGGAAAAATCCTCCTCCTCTCCTCCCAGTAGCAATCCAGCATTTTCATATAATGACCAGGTCAGTGTTACAAGACATCATACAAACAAGTGCATGCTGAATACCCCTAAGCCTACCTGTCACCAAAACTGCTGAGAGCGGAAGAGGTTTTTTTCATCCTTTGGGATCTAAACAAGGATCACTGGGGTTGTTTTTGAGGAGTCTGAACCACTTGGTTATCAGAATTGGAGAAGCCCATATATCTACATCATCTGATTTTCATGTGGGCATAGGAGGCACCTGCTGACTGTCCCAGCTGCCTGGCAGAGTTAGATGTGTTCATAGTGCTTGTTGCTCCACAACTTTTGTGACACTGTGCTCATCTGTCTACACTATTGTTTTCATGGGTCGTGTTGTCAAGATGATTAAATCTTCTGTGCTATGTTGCATACCTTGCTCAACATGTAATAACCAGTGCATTTTCCAAAAATCTGCAGTCAAGAATACTTGCAGTTCAGACAGTAGCACTTATCTTGTTTTGAAAAGATACCTTAATTGCTCAGTGTTAATCTCAGCCTCACTTAACTGACTTTTTCATCATCTCCTGTTCTTTAAATCATCTGAGCCTTGGTGAATAAATACTACATCCTACTCCATTTATTATGCAGATGATCATATCATTGTTGCTTGACCACACTGCATATATTAGTTCCTTTGTGTAATGTTTAAATATATTGGTGTATTTTTATTTCATAGGAAGCAAGAACAGAATCTATTGCCAGACCTTTGGAGATAAATGAGGCTGAGAAGATGATGAAAATTGCCATTGACTGTGTTCTGGTAAGCAAAATTATATTTATTTGATTGCAAAATTATCATTCCTCTCCTGCAAGAAGAGCATAGCTCTTCTTAGGAACAGCCTAGGGTTAAGAGTGCCAAAGCACACATCACCTTCAGCTGACTAGACCAAGTAGTGCTGTACCTGGTTAGTTAACAGCTAACGTTGAAGTTCAGTTAATGGCTAACGCAGCCTTTGGTCTTTAAGTAACATCAGATGTATGAGCAGAAGTTCAAGGCAGAAATCAGCCTATGATGACTCTTTATGTCGTGGTAATGAATATGGTCACTGATGATCCTTACGGTTTATTTGTGAAATCTGTTGTGTTCAAAGTGAACAAGCATGTTAATTGAAACTGATAACTTTCCTGGCAGAGTGAATGAGGTGTTGGCACAGTGATGATTGTGAGCTGGCAGTCAGAAGTCACAGCCTGCAGCAGAGAGGGTAATTGATGTTAGCAGCAGCACCTAGGAGAACATGTTAAGACCCGCTCTGCTGTCAGACTGTTGCACTGTATAACTGTGTTGGGTCAATATGCAGAAACATTCCTCCAGCTGATGCATCAAAGAACTGCATTTGACCTCCCTTGGCATCTCTCTCGGGCAAAAACACATTTTAGTCATATTCCCTGCCTCTGTTAGGAGCTCAGTAGCAGCCCTGAAGCTCTACAGGAGGAATAAAAATTGCCTAAATCAGCACAGAAATCTACATCCCACCTACATTTTCTACGCTGTTATGGTGGGTTGACCCTGGCTGGATGCCAGGTGCCCACCAAAGCCACTCTATCACTCCCCTTCTCAACTGGACAGGGGAGAGAAAATATAACAAAAAAGCTCATGGGTCAAGATAAGGACAGGGAGATCACTCGGCAATTACCATCACAGGCAAAACAGACTTGACTTGGGGAAAATCAGTTTATTGCCAGTCAAAACTGAGTAGGGTAATGAGAAATAAAACCAAATCTTAAACACCTTCTCCCCACCTCTCCCTTCTTCCTGGGCTCAACTTCACTCCCAATTTTTCTCTACCCCCTCCCCCTGAGCAGCGCAGGGGGACGGGGAATGGGGGTTGCGGTCGGTTCATCACGTCATCTCTGCCTCTCCTTCCTCCTCAGGGGGAGGACTCCTCACAATCTTCCCCTGCTCCAGTGTGGGGTCCCTCCTACAGCAGACAGTCCTCCACGAATTTCTCCAATGTGGGTCCTTCCCACAGGCCACAGTTCTTCACGAATTGCTCCAGCGTGGGTCCCTTCTACAGGGTGCAGTCCTTCAGGAACAGACTGCTCCAGCGTGGGTCCTCCACAGGGTCACAAGTCCTGCTGGCAAACCTGCTCCAGCGTGGGCTCCTCTCTCTCCACAGGACCACAGGTCCTGCCAGGAGCCTGCTCCAGTGCAGGCTTCCCACAGCAGGCACATCCACCTGCTCCAGCGTGGGGTCCTCCCTGGGCTGCAGGTGGATATCTGCTCCCCCATGGACCTCCATGGGCTGTGGGGGGACAGCCTGCCTCACCATGGGCTGCACCACGAGCTGCAGGGGAATCTCTGCTCTGGCACCTGGAGTACCTCCTCCCCCTCCTTCTTCACTGACCTTGGTGTCTGCATGGTCGTTCCTCTCACATATTCTCACTCCTGCTGCAGTTTGTGTCGTCTTCTTAAATACGTTATCCCAGAGGTGCTACCACCGTTGCCGACTGGCTCGGCCTTGGCCAGCGGTGGGTCCGTCTTGGAGGTGGCTGGCATTGGCTCCATCGGACACAGGGGAAGCTTCTAGCAGCTTCTCACAGAAGCCACCTCTGTATTCCCCCTGCTACCAAAACCTTGCCACGCAAACCCAATACAGCTGTGTAAACTTTGCAGAGTCAGGACTGCAAGGGGTGTACTTGGTAACTCAAAATATGCTGGTATCTCAGGAGTTGTGAAGTTGGCTTCTGGAAGCAGAGTGGCTGAACTGGCCAAGGCGTGAGAAGAACTGCCCCTGTGCTAATTAGTGCCATACCAGTGCATCATTATGGTTCTCATTTCAGAGGGCCTTTTTTCTGTCCCAGTCTTGGCAACACTGTCCTTGCTCCAGTGCTTGGGTTCCTGTGTTTCTGAACCATTAGCTGCACTCACAGACACTGTGCAAGTATGGTAGTTAATTAAATCCTAGTGATTACTATAAATTATTTAACTGCAAACTATACCCAATCCAATTGTGTAATTACAAGGAGTGGAGTTTGAGATTTAAACAGCCAGTGCATAATCAATAGATACTCCAGGTGGTCTTTCCTTATGTTTCTGCTCCTACTTACAGTCTATATGAATTTTGAGTGTTGTTAATATGCATTGCTATTCTAGGCAGTAGCACTAATAAACTAACAGCAGCATAGCAGAGCAATTAGCTTCTTGGGAAACATCACTGACGTGTAGCTCAGATGGTTTGGTTCTGGGCCAGTTAATGAAATGACCTACTATAGCGGAGCAGCACCTAACAGTTGCTAGGGTGAAGTCCTCTCTCTCTCTCACTCAAAAGATGCTCGTGTTTTCCTAAACATGAGCATGCTGAATGTACTCAGCTCATTTTAATAAGTTGGAATATTCCCACTTTCCCCTCCTGATTCCTGTAGCGTGTGTTGTAACGTTCAAGATGTTTCCCAGATTTTGAAAAGATGGATAAAGCAGGACTTAAGAAAGGATGAAGATATTTAAATAGAGTAAGTTCTTTATAAAAGTGACCTTTATCTTGAAGGGAAAAAAAAAAATTGATGGAAGCCTAAAAATTCTCTAAAATAGTACCAAGAAATAAATGCATTTCTCACCTGTGTTTATTCAGATACTTACATGTCGAGAGATGTCTTTATGTATGCTGTCAGATTGTTTTGAGGAGGCTTCTTTTCTTCCTATCTTTTACTGCTTTTTCAGTGAGAAGGAAAAATAAAGCCCAGGACAAGTTGTGGGGTTTTTTTTCTTCTTTAAGAATGTCTGGAAAAAAATTCAGGTATTTTAAATTTGTACATGTCCAGTTAGTTCATTGTCCTGGCCACAAAGAACGCTTTAATTTTCATTACAAGGCCAGCTTATGTTCTAGCTCATTGTTACAAAGTTATTTGAGAACCTGAGATGTGAGATTATACAGAAGAATGGTCAGCATCTGAAGGATAATTCTATTATTCCAGTGCAAGCCATGGTTCACCATCCTTCTCTTTTAGGAACAAGTCCAAAAGACTAAAGACATGTTGAATAATGTGGCTTTGGATGAAGCCAATTTGGAAGCCAAGATTGAAAAACGAAAATTGGAACTGGAAAGAAGCCAGAAGAGGCTACAGACTCTACAAAGTGTTCGGTAAAGATCATGAACCGATTATCTACTGCATAAATGAGTGTTAGCATAAATGATGGAACTGTGCATTGTTAATGCTTAGAGCAGTGAGGAGTGAAGTCTGTAATGAGACTGAAATGATGGCCTGCGGAAGAGAGAGATTCTCTTCTCTAGAAATGCCCAGTCTGGATTGTAATTGTTCATTTTTCCGTTACCATGTATTTGAAATCAGAACAGGGCTGTTAAAAGTGGCCAGAATATTATTTGGTGGGGTTGCTTAATTGCTGCTTGAGCTGTACAAAATGGTCAGGGAGCATGTCTTGTCTTTTCCTTTGTCATTAAACATATCTTCCAGTCTTGTTTAATATCTTTATCAACGATCTGCATGAAGGGATTGAGTGTACCCTCAGTAAGTTTACAGATGACACCAAACTGGGTTGGAGTGTTGATCTGATCAAGGGTAGGGTGGCCCTGCAGAGGGACCTGGAGAGGCTGGACCGATGGGCTGAGACCAATTGTATGAGGTTCAACAAGGCCAAG